AAAAAAAAAAAAAAAAAAAAAAAAAAAAGGAAAGGAAATAACAGTAGGATAGCCTAGTACAGTATTGAGGAAAAGTTGGGTTGGGTTAAGTTTGAGTTGGATTTTGAGTCAACAAAATTATCTGGTCAATGGTCAGTCATTCATATCATAACTGGATATTTTGTATCCAATCATGCCCTCACTGGTTCTATCTACGGAAGATCCCAAAGAACATCAATCACTTCACTTCCTCAAATACTCAAATCCAAGTTCAAAAAGTTAACGCTTGTGTTCGCCAAATGATGAGTTGGGAAAAACATCACAAATAAATGCAATTACCAAAACCAGGATGCCTTAGCGAGGCGCTGTGGCTCTGAACCATGTTCCCACTAAATTGATATACATTGTATGTCCCATGAGGATAACACTCCGTAAGATTTCAGGTTGTAAAGCTAACAACAAACTCATTCGATAGAAAAGTACTTTCAGTGAAATAAAATCTAACAAACTTATTATGATTATGTATCTTTAACCCACTATAAACACTATGCATTAGTACCTCTCTTGCATTCCCGATTGAAATAGAGCCCTCAAATAATCACAGCATGATTCCAATATCACTTTATGAACATGTAGATGAGGAACCAAAGCACTGCAGCCATTGCATTTCCAATTGACCAGTTGAGGTGTGCTGCCGGCTTCCAAGATAAGATCCCTGATGAGGAACAATACAAACATTACATCACAGCATTGAGATTTTGTAACTGAAGAAAAAAAAAAAAAAAGTAGCTAGTAATAAAACATCCTCCATGTAAAACAAGTTTCTTTTTTTCCTTGAGGAACAAAAACTCCATACAACATTCACTTGTTTATTATAATGTGAAGTCCTTTTTAGAATGAATAATCAGAGAGAAACCCCATCATAATTCATAATGTGATCCCTCCAATTGGAGATATATCCTAACAAAAGCTCAGATCATGTACACCAACATCAGCAAAAATATAAAATGATTTTGCACAAAATACAAATTCAAATGCCAGAGGCGGAAGTACATACGAAAGATAAAATCCAGCTGGCCCAAGCGCAGGTCTAAGATCAAAGTTTGTTACAGGGAAATCCCATTTTGGATTTCTCCAACTAAGCAACTGCATCAGAGATTCCAATTTACAGTGCCTCGCAAGAATTTTCAGCTTCTTAGCTAGGTCTGCACTAGCTTGCAAGTATCCTGAATAAACATATTCCAACAATTTCCACAGTGACTGTTGGTCCACGTGAGCTGATAAACGAATTGCCTTTACGTTGTTTCTCCCCATATCCAGCTTTATATTAGGCCTGCTTGTTGACTCCGCTTTAGGAACTGATTCAATAGGAGGTAGTAATGATGGACATCTTACAGCAAGAATTACTTCATGAACAAAGACAGATTCTTCGTTAATAATATCGAGCTTCAAATCAGAATGCTCCTTTTGACCAAGTGATTTTCCAATCCTGTTTCCCAATTTACTCGGCAAATCAAAATGTCCAAAATAGCTAAGCACGTATGCAGCATACCATCTTGAACCATGCGAATAATTGTCTCCACATATCTCCTGGATTTTCTGAATAAATTTTGTTTCAGAATGCTCTTCCATGTGAAAAAATGGATGAAGTTCTACACAAGTAGAGAGTTGTAGCAACTCGGCAAGAACCCACAGGCTAAAAAGCAAAAGCACGTCCTCGCCTTCCCAATCTTCTGTACATGGGAAACAACAAGTCTTCTCACTGAATGAATCTCGCAAGTGAGAAACCATACTTTCTCTTTTTGTTCGGACAGGGTTGTTTAACCATCTCACAATGAAATCCACCACAGTTTTGATCCCCTGGGATCTAATTATGAGCTTCTGATATGTTGGTAGACTGCAATAGCAAGCCAAACTCATTAACGTCAACAAAATTTGAAGGTTTCCAGGAAGTCCAAACTTGTTTCCTGACAATCCAGTATTCAGAATCTGTAGCAAGTGTCCAACATAACCCTTAGTCTCCAACTTGAGTATCTCACTTAGTATGGACCTAGCCAGGGATGCAAAATATTTGCAAGGGGAATAAACCATCATAAGAACTGCCCTACTTGCTGATTCACATTCACTCATATTTGTTGTACCCGTCTGGGAAACACGGTGCAATGTCCCAAGTGAGTTAACAAAGGACAAACTGTCAAAGTATTGAGAAATATCAGAGAGAAAAAAACGGTTAAATAAGCATACTATGACAAGGAGAACGATCACAAAAATACTTCTTAGTAAATAAATATAGCAGCCATAGTTACTGAGGTGTATAAAAAACTCAAAAGGACAACAAAATCAATTAAAAAACAAACCAAAACTCAGGCTACAAAGGCTATCTAGTTGAAAGAAGTATTACCATGCACATATTATAAGGACATTTAGGTGACGTTCATTCCCGTGCAACTCAAATTTGTTATTTTTGGGGCCACAATTTGCTGCAAGTCCTCCAATAATATCCCATATATATGGTCTAAAGGGATGAAGCAGATTGGAATTATAATTTGCTCGCACAATAAATATTAGATCATTCAGAGATAAATTACGCTGCAGGTGATGAATTACGGGAGAATTTTCCAGAACAAGATGGAGGAGAAGTCTATCCACGCCAACTTTCCAAAAGTATCTGTGGTGATCACCTGCCCAGCGAGTGACAGTTGCTAGACGGCATGCCTCTTCCATAACAGATAATTGGTCTTTATTGGATTTATCAGACAGTGAAATCCAATTGTTCATCACACTTGTTACAACTTGGACAAGGGGCTCACAGCATATGCTCATCATTTTTATGCATCGTCTTCTGCTGAGCTAACAAATTCATGAAACAGAATACTTCAGATACATAAATTGATAACTTCAATAGAGTATAAGGTGGAGTTACGAAAGTATACCGCCAAATATCGAGCAAGTCTAAATGCTTCTAAGCGGACTGAACTAGTAATTGAACTTTTCATGCAGCCAACCAACATTTGTAGAAGTGCTTCCCCATTTTCAAGAAGCTTATCTGCTCCATTGCCACATAGAACTGGCAAGCATAAACAAGAGAACAGATGCAATCCCACCATTAAAGCTACATATTCAAGTTTAACGGGACTAGTATGAGAGTAGTTGGTGGATACCTATGGAAGAATATAACTGAAGCACAGCAAATTTCACTGAATTTTCAGACATGAGTTTGACGGCATCCAAAATGTTTAAGAACATAGAATCATTCCACACACTGAATCTAAAAGATGGCCACCGCAACAATATTTTACTTAAAACAGAAGCCATCTCTTGAAAGTACTCGATTGGTTTATCATCAACACGAAATTGCTTAATGTTATGAACAATATAACCAACTGCATTTGTTTCCTTCAAAATCTGCCCAACTTCACCATCATGCCTAGAACTTAGTTTATATAAAACAATGTTCATGGCAGTAGCACTCGACATAGCAACCTGAAGTTGTTGAGAACACAAAAGATTTGCCAAAGGGAGGATCAGATCTGAAACATGAATTTGCAGGCGCGAGTTTGGCAAAACGTTAACCATCTTGACAGTGACACTAGAGGCAAAACTCAATACTGGTTGACTTTTGAATTCTAGTATACTTTTTAATGCTCTGACCATGTTAGCAGCTGAATCCTGGAACAGGAAAAAAACAAACAAGCAAAAAAATCAATTATTGGCAGAAAGCACTTTGCCACTGTCCATAAGTGCATTTAACTTAACTAATACTAGATTGTAAACATGTTTGATTCAATCAGGGAAACCAACTCAGTTATGCCCAGGATGCCATGAACAACACACTGCATTCACCAAATTTCTGCAAATAAAATACTAATGGTGTTTTGTCGCAAACATCTTTATCAAACATACATATCGCTGAAAGGCAACTCAGGAGGAAGAGCGGAGTGCAGGACCAGCTCTGCATATTATTATTCACTCATAGAATTTCTATACCATGATAACTACCATTGTCCATCTTTTTTTCAGTTCATTGCACCGTTTAACTGCTGGAAACTTTCAACACAGGCAAGGAACTAGGAAGAGTGTCCATGCTAGGTTAAGTTTCAAAGCACCTGAATGTAATACAATATAAGGAAGCTAAAATGGAAACTCTTGTAGCACAGTCAAACCATGCTAGGTTAAGTTTCACAGCATCTGGATGTAATACAATGTAAAAAAGGCCAAAATGGAAACTCTTGTGGCACAGTCAAACTATACCCATCAGAATTCAATACATCTTAAAAAGGTTTATACATTTGAAAGCTGAGACTCAAGAAAATTACTTAATCTAAAAGAGACACTGTGGATGATAATTACGCCGTCTTCTAATGCGTCTTCACAATCCTATATATATCAAAGCAACAGAGAGCACTCTAACAAAATGCATAACTTTTATACATCATGCACTTATTACTCAGCAAATTATGTGGGTATTGCTGTTTTAAGATTCTCATAAGCAAACTAAGAGGGTTATTATGGGAAAAAAAAAAAAAGAGAGAGAGAGCTCTTAGCACAGCAGGTCACTCATGACTATCAGTAATCAGTAATCGCTCTACGAAAGCGTACAAGGAAAAATGGAGAAATTGATAACCAATTTTATTGAGACATATATGACTTAAGGTTATGGGTTTTATGCAGCTTCATCTGTACCTTGACAAGAGGGTACTGTAATGTCTCACCGGAGATACATTCAAGGAACGCATCAATTGCGCGAAGCACAAGTTTTTGTATCTCAATGTCCGGACAATACCATGTCTCTTTGCTCTCCCAGGTGCTGCAATAACAAATCAAAGTGTATCAGGTCAGCTGCAGTTATAGAAAGAACCATATTTCCGGAAATATGAAAAATAGAAAAGAATGTACAAAAAAGGGAAGGAAAAAAAAAAAAAGAATGTGCAAACTAATAGTCAGTGCCCCAATGAGATTCACTCTAGGGCAGATCCAGATTACAAAATGTCTGTTCTAATGCTGTCATAATAGGGCAGATCCAAATTACAAAATATCTGTTCTGATGCTGTCATAATAGGTAGTCAAACTAGTAACGAAACTAGTGTCGTTGCACGCAGGAACACTATCCATAAAAGTTTCATCCCATACAGCTATATGTCCTAGGGGCAGACGAAATTTGACTTTATAAAAGTAGCATAAAATCCTACCCATGTTGCTATCAGCATAACGTATCGAATTTAGAAGACGATTAAAGCATAAAGAGATATCATGCAGTATACAGCTCCAAAAGTAATTATCACATGGGAAATAACATAAGCATTAAGTGCAATCAAATAAAAACAACTATTTCACCAAAACCACCAAGGACGATGCACATAAATTGTTTAGATGATACGTAGAAATGGGCGAGGTTTGGAAAGTGAGAATATCCTAAAATGTCATAGCAAGCTAACATCTCTTGTACCTAAATCAAAAGAACTAAAAATAAAAAAGCAAGAGCAAAAAACCTCATCAGCATCTAAACTTTCTTCAATGACCTTACTGAACAACCCAAAAAAATAAGGTGAAAAACTAATGAGACATCGGCCCCACAGCCTCACACAAAATAAATCAAAATCCAGTTAGTGACGCCTCACGCCTAACACAAATGATATTGATGGAATAAAAACTGTAAAACTTCGGGATTATGCTAAGTTTCTTTAACTAAGCCATGAGCTCATAAGCTTTAACCTCATCGAAAACTCGATGAGGTCTGCTGGCATCAACCTATCATAATTAAAGAACTCCCACACTTAGGAAATGTGTAACATCAACCTATCAAAATTAAAGAACTCCGACCCTTGGAAAATGCGCAATAACCATCGCTAGCCATCTACCAACTAGTCCACACAGAGCCAAAGCAAATTTGAACTTTGAAGCCAATCACACACATTCACTAGTAAGATCAACTCAACTAATCAAGACAAGTTCGACCAAGAGGACAGAGGAATTCATAATCTGTAAACATAGGTTCCAACTACGACATAATGTCCATACCCGAGGTTGAGGGCATGGTCAAGACGTTGATGGAGGGTGAGAACGTGACCGCTGATCCCGCGATTCTTGTCCGCCCCGCCGTGCTTCGCCGATGGTCGCATTTGATTTTACTCTTAAGGCGGTTGCCGCCGCCTGTGGTGGAGTAGTGTCCTCGGTCCCAAATTAATTCGAACTGAATGCCAAGCAGCAGCTCCACACTGGTGGCTGAGTTGTGGAGCGCAATCAATCTAGTTTCGTTTGCAGAGGCACTACCGATTGTAGACTTCTCGAGTTTTTTCTTAAAGGATTTCACTTTTTTAAAATTCAAATTATATAAGACTTGATAGATATATTATTTAGTTACTACACAATCTTATTGTTTTTCAAGTAATATTAATTTGTAATTTAATCATTTAATTTAATCCATTCTACAACATACTGCAATAGTTAAAACCAATCGACACTAGGACGATGCTCCGCGTCTGGTCAAATAATAAAATGGGCGGTGGAGTCGAGGGAGTAGCATATCCGGTTTGCCTAGGAAGATAAGCTTTAGTGGACTTTCAGAAATTTACTACATACGAGGAACAGAGATGTTTGATGTCGATGGATCCACGGTAATAGAGGAGTTGGAGTATGAATATTCATGGTCACCCCATAGGGTAACAACTTGGAATATACGGTATAGTGGGATTTACGGATAGTAACAATGAAACTGAATGTGAAGCTCTGACAAAAGGAGTACACTATTCTAATTACCTTAGGCGAAAATCATCGTTTTATCTAAAAGCACTCACATCAAATAATCATTAATCATCACTAGATAGTGTAACTGCGTAAGCCTACCTTAAATGAATTTACAGATTTAAACCTTTATGATGATGACATTGACCACGAAAATGAATCACGATTGGGGATCGATTTATGGTCTTCCTCAACAAAATCTCGGTTTTTTATGGGCCTTATTAAGGATCATAGCAGATCTATGTTCTTATGACAACATAGCGCTTTGATAAGCTTAATTGAAAAGCACACCATCAAAGTTAAAGTGAGTGATAATTTCTTTATTACTCAACTTAACAACGTTAACCTGTCACCACAAAAAAAAACTATGGTTTTAATGCAAAACAAAATAGATATTAAATCCAATTTTATTTAGAGTCAAAGCCCATATAACAAAAATAAGCTTATAATTTAATCTCAATAAGCTCATATTCAAATAAAATATTTTCTAAATTTACGGTCCAGGATTACCAAATTAAGCTAAAATTTAATTCATTTAATCATATAGTTACTATTTGAAGTTGTGTGCAAACATAAATGAACTAAACATGAAATTAATTTGAACTTTCAAGCTTAAGCAAAATTAAGTCCAAAATTCATAACACATAAGTCATAAAAATGCTTAATAGGGTTCTCATTTGACACAAATCCTTAGATCATATGTGAATAACATAAAATCCATTTTTTTATGGGCATAATAGACCCGTATTTGTTAGAGGAAATTGCATGCCATACGGTCATGCTGAAACTATTTAACACTTTTGCACCCCTTTTATTTTTTATTGGGAAATCACCTAAACCACTTAAAAAATTTTCAATTATACCTAAAAATATGTTTAACCGTTATTAACATTTTTAATAATGGTAATGATATAATTAAGTCCAATTAATTATCCACTTGCCAAAAAAAGTGGAACTAAAAAGTAAAGGTAGTCATCCCCACCAACTCACGTATCCCTTCATCTTCTCCAACCTCTCGACAGTTTCGCCGATTACAAAATTCAATGGCAAAAACGAAAAATCCCTCCTCTTCAACGAAAAAATCCGGCGGATGGTGGCGACGATTCACCAGTTATTAGATCTAGTGCCCGACTCCGTCACCATCGTCCCCTCTATTCAAGAGATACCAGGCTCGCGACCGAATTTTGATCGCCCTCCGCCCGTGAACAGCCACCCCGACGCGATCCTCCTCCGGCGATTCCTAGTTCGTGCAACACCGGCGAGTTTACCCTCCTGCTTGAGTGGATGACAAGAAGAATCCGTCTCGTGTTCCCTAGAATTTGCCCCTTTTTTCTTTCCTTTTTTTTTCTTGTATGATTTGATAATTCGAAGGTATATTTACAAAATCGAGTTGGGTATATGTTGGGTATATCCGAGTATATCCGAATTAATTTTTCTCTGGTTATCTGTTTAATAATTCCATTTTTTCTTGTGTTATATGTTGGGTATATTCGAGTATATCCGAAGTAACTTTTTCTCAAGTTATCTAGTGGGTATATCCGATGTAACTTTTCTCTCTATCCGAAGTATCTTTTCTCTTTCTATGCTATACACTTTTGTCACTGACTTTCTGCACCTGTTACACATTTTTAATATATTTGAAGTATATTTTTTG